CGTTCTAGAAGTGGTCCTGCCTCTCTCTCTCTCCTTTTTTTTTTTTTTTTTTTGACTCACATGCCCAGGGCCCTGGATTCCAGTCTTGTCACCATGAGAAAATAAAATAAAATAGGAGAAACATTAAACCATGTCAGTATGTAAAAAAAAAAAAAAAAGCCAGGTACCATATGCTTCTCACTACATGACATCCTGGGAATAGCTAAAGAGAGGTCAGCACAGGGTGGTGAGTGCTGTCACCTTGGCAGAATCTAGAACCACAGGGGAGATCATGGGAGATGGGCTCTGGGCACACTTATGGGAGACTGTCTTGATTATGTTGATTGGGAAGTCTGGGGGTCACCACTCCCTGGTTGGGATCGTGGGCTGGGTAAACAGAGAAAGGGTGGCAGCAATGCTCCTCACTGTGTACTCACTGTGGATGTCACATGACATTTGCTTCAAGCTCCGGCTACCTCAACCTCCCTAACGTGGTGGACTGTGTACCCTGGACTGTGAGCCAGAATAAATCCTTTCTCCCTCAACTTTTCTTTTTCTCGGGGTATTTTTATCACATGAATGGGAAAAGAAACCATGATGAAGTGGTTGTCAGGTTAGGGAAGAAGTCGTGATGAAGTGGTTGTCAGGGTTAGGGAAGGAGCCATGATGTGGTGGTCATCAGGGTTAGGGAAGGAGCCATGATGAGATGGTTCTTAGGGTTAGGGAAGGAGCCATGATGAGATGGTCGTCAGGGTTAGGGAAGGAGCCATGATCTGGTGGTCGTCAGGGTTAGGGAAGGAGCCATGATGAGATGGTCGTCAGGGGTAGGGAAGGAGCCATGATCTGGTGGTCGTCAGGGTTAGGGAAGGAGCCATGATGAGATGGTCGTCAGGGTTAGGGAAGGAGCCATGATGAAGTGGTTGTCAGGGTTAGGGAAGGAGCCATGATGTGGTGGTCGTCAGGGTTAGGGAAGGAGGGAAACGTGGGCAAAGCGTGGATGACAGTGAGGTGCTACAGCGATGTCACATCTTTGTCTAGACCCACAGATGTAAATACCCAGAGTGCCAAAGCTACTGAACTCAGCTCCTAACCATCATTAGTCAAGGTTCATGAGTGGGACAAAAGCCCCTCCTAAAACAAAACTCATTGGGACCATGAGCAGAGCGCATGAGGATTCTCTCGCCTTCTTCCTAGTCTTTCTATAAACCTAACTATATCCTTACAGTTCTGCTGACTTAAAGATAAGCCAGGAACAAAGTAAACATGCACAGAAAAAATTAAATAAAAGCATTAAAGACAAAACGTGGAGGTCAGAAGATAGTGGTCATCTTTAATGAACAAAGCCTCAAAGACTGTGACTCTAGATGTCCATGGCCAGAGGAAACCCCTCGGGGACAAAATCAAGTGAGGAGATTCTCATACAAAAGAACCCAAAGAGACCTCACTACCAGAGACTTTCCAAAGACACACCAAAGGACACTCCCAGACCGAATGGAAATTACCTCAGAGTATCTGAGACCTTTAGGGACGAAGGAAGAGAAACAGGAGTCGTGGTATGCCCATGTCTCTGGGGACACTTTGATGCTGGGTGTTAAAAAGTCTTTAAAACATGCACATCTAGAGAAACAGTACCCCCTGCCAATGAGGCTTTCAGTGTTTGCAGACATGGCGGCCACTTTCTCATTCGTAACAGGGTATGCAAGAAATAACTTAACGGAGGAAAGGTCTGTTTCAGTCCAAGGCCTCAGAGATTTCCGCCCACGGTGTCAGTTGGCTCAGTGGCTCCCAAGCCTGTCCAGGGGAGGCAGGACATCATGGTGAGGTGCAGTGGTGGAGAGAGAGATCACCTCACGGCAGACAGGAAAGAGAGTGAATAACGGACCCAGGACAAGGTAGAACCTTCCAGGGGACCCCCCTAGTGACCTACTTACTGGCCCCCTCCCAATGATGCCACCAAATTATAAATCTATGGATAGATCCACCCATTGGTCAGTTGAAGCTCTCATGATCCATTTACCTTCTAGAAGTTCATTGCTGCCAAATGAGTGATTTTTGAGAACACTTCATATTCAAGGTACTCATCATCCCAGCACCCAAGGGTTCAGTCTCATCCTACAGTGAAGCACGCATTTGGTCTATCTCCTCAGCCTTGCCCGATGAATTCTCTCTCCTGGGCCAATTATGCTTACCGCCTTGACTTCCCCCAGTAGATAAACCATGTTCCTAACATCCATAACTCCCTGGAGCTTCCACCACAGCACAGATGCCGTTCTTACAGCTCCAAGCATCAAACTCTCTCAGAGATCCCAACCCTCACAGGGACTCTGTGCCACACACAGGTCCTACAAGGCCTTCCTTTGAAGTAAATGGAAGTTTCTGTGACCCCACAACTCCTTGTGTTCTGATTGCTTGTAAAACCAGCACCAGTGGATAACACCAAGTTCTGCCATTAACACGAGCAATAGCTAGGCCCCCTTGGACTCGTGATCCAATTGCTTCCCTATGGCCCATCAGCCAGAAGCCAAGCCTTCAACACAAGCCTTGGCCGGAGCGAGTGGAGACATGACATTTCATATCTAGACCACAACAGTTACACACACGCCAACTCTGACAGGTCTGAGTGTGTTTTTTTTATCCTTACTTAAAGAGACACTGAGATGACCACAAAGCTCAAGGTTGGTTGGTGCATTGCAATCTCTGAGAAACCACTAAAACGACGAAAGACAAAGGCAGTGACTTAGGCAAAGGCCATTAGGGAACATGAGGAAATATTTAAACAAGGGAACAAGAAAAAAAAAGCGAAGCAAACAGTCAAATAACGGACCTGAGTCCACTGGGCAGTCATTACATAAGGGCTGAGTGGTGGAAACCCCAGACAAGAAGCTCAGAATGTTGGGAAAAGTTATTGCCAAAACATTCAAGGACTGACCAATGGATGGGCATCAATACATAGAGAATAAGATGCATAAGATCCCGGGCAGGCAGAGCCTGGCAAGAGGAGACAGAGCAAGTGGCATGCCCAGCTGGTGGGGCACATTACAGCATCTGAGCCTGTGGTCCAGGAGCAGGATTCAGGTCCCCAGGAAACAGGAAGGGGCTACTTGAGAACAAATAGGTCTGCTAGTCACACTACAGGGGCGTGTTGTTGTTGTTGCTGTTGTTTTGTTTTTTTTGAGACAGGGTTTCTCTGTTGCTTTGTAGCCTGTCCTGGAACTAGCTCTGTAGACCAGGCTGGCCTCGAACTCACAGGGATCCACCTGCCTCTGCCTCCTGAGTGCTGGGATTACATAAAGGCTCCCTCTCACTTTACTTGGTCAAGACTGGTACCCTAGAGTCCCATACCTGTCCATGGTGCCCGAAATAAGGGGTGCCTTTTGGAGTCTGCTCAACTGGCCCCTGAGTTCCCCTGAGTACTCCTGCTTTTCTTTTTCTTTTTTTTTCTTTTCTTTTCTTTTTTTTTTTTATTTCCGGGACTTCTGAGAGCATTCCTCAGATAGCACCTGTGGGAGATAACCATTTCCAGGCTCCCAGGCAGCCACAGAAGGGGGAGAGTGGGAGGCTCCTCTGCTGGGGTCTTGTGTCTGTGTGCCTGCACACCTCCCTGGGAACAGCTACTCCAAGGCCGCCTGGTGAGCGGGCTAGGTGAGCTGAAAGGGTCTAGGACCTTTGGACACCACTCCAGCTAAGATTCTACCCTGAGAGGAACTTACAGCACCAGGCCTGTGCCTCACCTTCACCAGGACCCCAGAGAAAGGGTGGGACAAACGGACAAACCTGTGTCTAGAAGTTGGGCTTAGAGGGACAGCTGCTTTGAGGCACTCGTTAAGGCTGAGAGCAGTCCTATCAGAACACAAAACATCCCTCCTCAGGATCCCAGTCTCTCCCTGTATAGGAGAGTGGCTGGACAGGTTGATGTCTGGCGCCCAATAAACCAGCCAAAGGAATCCATGAGAATGAAGCCTTGGGGCAGGGGTGAGGGTGTCTGAAGGTAACAAAAGGCTAGGAACAGATACACTAAGTCTCTAGGTTTACACAGATTGTGAGCCCTCTTCTTAACCATTTGATCTCCACACACTCCCGTCATCGCTACCTCAGAGGCCCACACGTGTTGGAGACCGCGGACCACCAGACCCTGAATTTCTTGTAAACAACTTGCTTTCCTGTGCCCAGAGCAGCCTGCAGCTGCTCTGAGCACGAGACCCTGATGGCAGGCTAGTGGGTCTGCTGCTGAAAGATCCCGAGAGCTGGGGCGTGGCCAAGCCCTATATAAGCTGCCCCTAAGCACAATAAAGGGGGCATTCTTGGCATTCTTGTCTCAAGGATGTCCCGTGCCCCCGCCCCTATCCCCGTCTACCTCTCTGTCTGTGTGTTTTTAAATGTTCAGCCTAGTTCCCATAGTGCCTAGCAAGTAGAGTGTGTGTAGTCTGACATGCATGCCCCCAGATCCAATCCCCACCAGGCAGGGGTGGCAGCCTCCGCCTCTGCTAGGGCCACATCCCCAGCCAGCTCCGTCCTGAGAAGCACTTGTCTAGTTCCAGAGTTACTCATAGGAACAGCTAGGACACCCCAGGTAGGGGGACCTTCTCACGCCAAAGACACCCCCAAAACTCATTTGGGGGGCCCAAGACCCTCAAAGTGTGAGTTTCTTTGAAAAAGGGATCTCTGCGAGTGGGTGAGATTTTGTCAAGGTTTTTCATATTGGAATCTCTGGCATCAAAAGTCTAAGGACAAGTTCTTAGAAGAAAAAGGCCGAGAGAGGCAAAGACTCAAGGAGGACCTGGAGCCCGGTCACTGTGATGCTTTATGTAGCCTGATGTCCCTTTATGGCCATCAAGTCAGTAGGAGGGGCCAGAAAGGCCAGGGGGCAGCTTGCCTTCTCAGTGAACTGTAGGACAAGATTTTCCCAGTCTTTTGGGCCTGGTATGAGGTGGGACAGCAACATGGAAGCAGAGAACACAGCAGTGGGGTACAGCAAATCCCAGCAGCTCAGACCCTCAGCCCAAGTACACACCATGCCCTACCTGTCCCCAGCCTGCAGGCTGCACCTAACGTCAGTCGCCGGCATCCATCTCTTCATTTGTGTACCTGTCTAACCACTTTCTCTCCCAGTGCTTGCCCTGTCCCTTTCTTGGCAGTGACCGTGCAGTCCTTAGCAGTGGGTCACCACTTTCCGGAATGTGTTTGTCCATCTAGGCTTCCTGCCCCATGCGGGGTTGTTTTGACTTGCATGGGGCTTTCCGCCTTTGCCCTGGTTATATAAGGAGCTTTATGTAACAACCAGATTAGCAGAGCCGGGGAGGGTATGGTAGGAGAAGTCAGGGCCGGCCACAACCACACCACCTTTCCAGGTGTTGTTTAAAGTCTCCAGTGCTTGGCTGACTGGGTGCCAGGAGGACAGACTCCCCTACCATGCTCCACCTCCCCTGCCTTATGCCCATAGTCTTTGGAGTCAAAGGTAACTAGTGGCCAGTCCAAGAAGAAGGTTGTCCCTTTCCTCTCTGAATGACAACGGCCACAGGTACCCAGAGACTCATGGGTAAAAGGACAGCTGACAGACAGTTGGAGCGCAAACAGCGCTTAATTGCTAGGGCAGATCCCCTACCCCCTGAAACAGACCTGGGGTGGGGTTCAAGATTATGCAGAGAAGACCCCTGTCCCTGCCCCTGCCCCCCAGAAAGGAAGTAGGGAAGGACAGAACCAGGTAACCATCAGAGCCTCAGAGACACTAAATAGACAGACACACTTCAGGTTTGATCTATGTGGGGACAGGAGAGAAATTGGGCCACTTCTCCAATCGCCATCTGTCAGAAGCTCCAAGGGATGCTCACAAGCAGTGTGTCTGCCTTACCCGAGAGGCCCACGTGTATGTCCCCAATGGTGAAAACCAAGGGGCCCAGAGTGCCTGCCCTCAGGTAGGGGACAGAGGGTAAGGCTGGCTGCTCACGCCCAAGGCCAGGGTCAACTGCTATAGACGGGGAAACGTGGCAGGAGGCAGGGTGAGAGAACCATGCCCAGCTTCTCTGGACTCCTCCCTACGGTAGCCATTGCAGAGTGGTCCTGGAAGCTGCAGAGCCTGCCGAGAAGGGCAGGGAGAGAATGCCCGTGGCTCACAGTCCTCACATGTGGAGTCTGAGCACACGCAGGACAGGTCCAGGCCTCCAGTTAGCAGGCTCTGCCGGGCACAGCAGCCTAGACATCTGTGCTGGAGGGCTAGACCTCAGCTTGGCCAAGGCTTCCAAGGGACCCCCAGGAAGAGCTTTTCATATCCCCATGGTTCACTGGCCTGTCTCTGTCTCATAAGGTCGGGACATCGCGAGTACAGCCGCAGGACCAGGCCAGCCAAGTATCCGTGTCCCAGGCGGCCAGGCTCTGACGTGTTCCTCTGGGTTTGGAGTCAAGGCCTGTGTTTGTTCCCTCTCACCAGGAAGCCAGGGCTTTCCTTCCTGAAGCTAGGGAGGCCACGTTCCTTTTCACTCCCCAAAGAGGAAGCCTTCCCTGTCCTCCGGTCAGATATGCCGAGCGCTGACTTCACAGCCCGAGATGAATGCACGGGAAACGTTCTTCCCTAAGAACCCCAGGAGCCGATAAGAGGCAGAAGGAAGCCTCCACAGGCCCCACAGGCCCCTCAGGAAGCACAGCCACGTCACCCTCTCCAGCAGGGAGGCAGCCTCTGCCTAGCATCGGCCCACCTGACCTGGCATCTGCCCAGTCCCCGGGCCCTTAGAAGTTTCTTTGTTGGCCTCCTCAGGCTCCTGAGCACATTTGTGAATTTATAAGGGTCCGAGAGTCCCCAGAGATCAGAACCACTGTCCCTTCCCCCACAAGTACACACTTAGGTAGTCTCTCAGTGTGACCCCCGAGGCCCTGACATGTGGCCTTTGGTCCCTGGCTGGACAGAATCCCAGCAGTAATGACATTGGAGCTGGTGGACATGAACTCACCAGCAAGCAGAAGGATCGGGAGGAAGGGACACAGGCCAGAACACAACGTGGGAAGGCTGCGGGGCATCCTGAGGACAAATGTCCTGTGGGGCAGGCGTCACTGGGTTCAGGATGGCAGCCACTGAGGCTACAGTGATGCCATACAGAGTTAAGGGAGGTGGAGGAACAGCGGTAGGCATTCTTACGGGGGCCTGAGTCACGTACACTGCTCATATTCTCCTGAAAGGGGTCTCCCAACAGCTCACCATCGTGTCCACAGTGGGGACAGTTCTAAAATGAAGTAGACGGCAGTGGGGGAGCAGGGAGGGGACTGGCTTGGTGGATAAAGTCATGTTATGTAAGTATGAGAACCAGAGTCCATAGCTCTAGAACCCATGTAAAAGCTGGACATGAATGTGTGGTGGCCACCTGTAAATTCTAGCACTCAGGAGGCACGGGGGGGCGGGGTGTATATACCCAGAACAAGAGAGGTAGAGCAGCTGACGGGCGAGCTCTGGGTTCAATGAGAGTTCCTGCCTCTGTATAGAAAGTGGAGAGACTGAGGAAGTTACCCACTGACGTTATCTTCGGACTCCATCCCCACATTCATACACTCATATATTCAAACATACATGCAACACCACTAATGTGGTATGCCCCTCTGTATGCTGTGAATATGTTTTATTCTCATTGGTTAATAAAGAAGCTGGTTTACCCAATAGTCAAGCAGAAAAGAAGTCAGGAAGGAAGAAGGCAGAATCGGGGAGATGCCAGGAACAGCTAGAGAAGCAAGATGTGATAGTAACAAGCCAAGAGCTTTGCGGTAAATATGGAATAATAGAAACGGGTTAATTTAAGTTAAGTAAGTAAGAACTAGTTAATAATAATAAGCTTGAGCTAACAGGCAAACAGTCTGTAATTAATATTAAGCCTCAGAGTGGTTATTCAGGAACTGGCAGGCAGGAGAGAAACCTCCAGTTACACACCACATACACACATTCCCCCCAAAGCTCTTAGGTAAAAATCTCATGGTGCACCTAAAAAAGCTGGCTTCAGTGATCACAGCACTGTGGTGGCATTGAAGGGGACAATAATTTGTCACCTGTATCTGGGATTCTAGATGTCTGGCCCTGTAGTGGAGAGAGGAGAAGCAGCCACAGCTCTGCATCTACCTACAACGGGCTATCCTCTGCTTAGGAAAGGTCTAGGGCCCTTGTGCTCAGAGAAAGCCAGGCAAGCTGATCTACACAGAGCTGAGAACACAGGTTTGCTGTTGAAAACCATCTTCACCGCAGCCCCTGCCATGGGCCAGAGTCAGAGCACCTGCTGTTGTGTGAATTCATTCCACCAATAGCTTTGGGGCACCGACTTTAAGGCATGGCTTCTTGTCTGCAGATGTGATCTCTTAAAAGGAGAGAGACAGAGGTCCCGAGCTTTCTTGGGTTGTGAAGACTGGGTGAGGCACCATGAAACTGTGTGGCTAGCTCCTTGGTACCAGCTTCATGAGTCTGTTTTCCCCATAGCACCCCTTAATAAATAAATAAATAATAATAAATATATATAAATTTATATATCTAATTATATATATATATATCTTTGTGGAGCACGTTACAACCCTTGGCTAAGTAAAGGTCCCTGTTGGATGTCTGCTACCAAGCCAGAAGGAAGGCCAGTGCCACAATCCCGAAGTCTGCCCCGGTGGCATTACCTACCCAGAATCTGCCATGGCCATCCTTCCAGAGCAGTTTTCCTCTCATGAAGGACGCCACAGAAACAAGGAAGGGCCGGCAGATTGGTATCAGCATGGCCCAGAACAGAGATGACATGAGGACTTGCAGAGGGGCATGGACAGGCCAGCGTGGTGGGGGACATGGGTTATGTTTACACTGACAGCAGAAGGAGCAGCTGAGGCAAGGTAGTTCTCCGAGTCCTCTTGCCCAATCTTCAGGGCTCCACAGTAGGAGCTGGTAAAAGGAGGTAAACTGAGGGCCAAACGGAGTAGAAAGGAGGCTGGGGCCAAAGGGCTCAAAGTGGCAGCTGACCAACCACCCCTCTCTGTCTGAACAGGCTCAGGCACCCAGGAGGTCCTGCCCTGGACAGTAGATGGCTTCTTCCATGACCTCACGAGGTGCTGAGCTATGGGTTCTCTAACCCCACGGATGTGGGCTCCATCCTCGTGATCTTGTCCTGCCCCATCTTCCACCACCCTCAACTTGGGGTGAGATTTTATTTAAAATAAATGAATTTGGGGTACAGAGGCATTCAGGTCGTAGCTCTGTTTCTACCGATGCCTGCGGCAAAGCGCGTGTCCCCAGCCTGATGATTCACAGGGACAGAATAGGATTTAGACCCTGGAAGGAAGCTCAGTTCACAAGTCCGGCTTAGCTCTTCAAATCCCATAGGCCAACTGGGAGCAGGTGCTGTTCACCAAAACAGCCAGCGGCAACAGGTGCCCCCAGTAAACCCGAAACCCAACATAACTCGGTGCCTGTCTGGCATTCGGTGCCCTTGGCTGAATCCATCTCTGCACCTGCCTCTGGCACATGCAGAGCCCATTCTGGTCCTGTCCTCTGGGGTGGCTGCCCTACGCTCCCCCCCCCCCCCCCCCCGCAGCCTCTTCCTGGACGTGCCTCCAGACCTGGGCATGGACCTTAGAATTGGCAAAACCAACATGGCTTTTCAGAGCGCCCTGACCTTATCCAGGCTAGGCACTGCCAAGCTGGTCCTGGCTCCTGCAGCTTCTGCCAGATGAACCCTTTCACCCCTGGGCATTCCACAGGCAACACCAATGCAACACCAGGTGATTCCTCTGCCTCCTCTTCTCTCCTGTTCTCCTCCCATCTGCTCCTCACCTCCTTGAAACCTGTGTACCAGGGTGAGCCATCTGGTTCTCCAGCCCAGGAAAGCATCACCAGGGCTGCACACCAAAGCCACGGGGGAAGGAGGGTCACACTCAAGTGTGGTACATGGCAGACCTGAGGACAGGACTGTTCTCTGCCTGCCTTCCCCGTCTCTGTGGGCTTCAGACCCTCCCCCTGTATACAGGGCAGTTCACAGGGGCTCCTGTGCATGAAGCCACATTGTCGGGAGAGCTGCATGTCGTCACCAAGGACACCTTGGCGTGCACTAAATCAAGGAGCAAAAGCACAGCCAGGGAGGGCAGGCATGGCTTCTAGGAAGGGCCCAGGGCTCAGACATAAGAACTAGATGTCACAAGGGC